TTCTCCCCCATAGCAAATAAAATGACGTTAGGGTAAACAGCCTTTTTACAATAAGTCATTTTTAAGCCCATAAAAATCAACTTCTAGTTGTACATTTAACTTCAGCCCATTTAATTTCGTGTATTGGGCCAAGGCCCGGCCTTTAATGTTCTGCCACCTATCCATCTGACAAAAAAATATTGGTATTTACAATTAGGCCACCACACCTTTGACCTGGTTAATATATAGATTGACTACATCCCCCACCTGTCATTACTCAAATTATACTGATAGGTGTGTCAATTGCTATCTCGGTCGTGAACCTTATTTATCTTCAATCTATATATATATTAAAGCTAAGCAGCTGAAAATTTTCCTCCAAAATTATATTTAATACATTGCAATAAATTTTATCAATTTCTATGCATGATTTATCGATAAAAAAATATTTGTTAAATATAAATAATTAATTTCTCTTCATAATTGTATTGGAATTTGAACTCCAATCTTCCTTGAATAAATAAATGCTTCAATTCCATATACTACCATGAAATAAATTTTGTTAATTTCTATGTATTATTTACCATTCAAACAATTCCATAATTATTTGTTACAAATAAATACTTATTTTAGTCATAATCAAATATTATACAAATCCTATTATATATTTTTTTTTGTCATAATCAATTATTTGTTACAAAAAATATTTAATATTATACATAATTATTTATTATGAATTCTCATTCGAATATCTCACTTATTATTTGTTTCTCTTCTCGTTTGTGAGTACGAGTTCCAGTCCTTATACATTATATTTTTTTATAAAAATAATTTATCAATCTTATTTAAGTAATCATTAAATAAATTTTAAAGTAAAATATTTTATTTAAAATCATTTATTATTTTTTATTAGAACATCAAACACAATATTAATTTTTTCGGTTATATTGGGTATATTTCAAGGTATTAGAAAAAGATCATAACTAATATGATATGCACATGTAATATAACAAATAAATAGTTTTATAGTTTTTATTTTGTATCGATATGCATATATATAGATAAAATTTTAGATTTGATATGTCAATTTAAATTCTACGTTGTCTATTTTAACATATACATGTTCAATGTTTACATATAAATATTTAATAGAAGCACCATATCACATTTGAAACATATACTCTATATTGATGGAATTTACGTACACATTAAGAAAATATGTAACCATCTCTTATTAATCTAATATTATATTATTTTATATCTATATGTAATTCTAAGAAATTACAAGTGATCATTAAATTATTTGCATGGAGTACCTCATTCCTAAACAAGATCTATTAATTTAAATTAAAAAATTCTAATCATTCACAAACTCTGATGTGAGCTGAAGTAAGGGTTAGTCAAGTTAACATGTCATTCTTTTTTATCAAAAATGCAAACTTAGACCTCCAAATTTCATACTTTTGTTTATTATATTTTATAATATATTTTTTTAAATAATAAATATAATAGAAATAGAAAGAGATAAAAAAAATAATGAAGTTATAATATCATAAATAACATAATTTATTCGACTAAAAGAGATGTATTTTTCAAAAAAAAATATCATCTATAATTTTTAGGGATGATCCTTCATATCTATATGAAATAGATCTCGAAAATGTTGAATAATTTAATTGAGTAAAAACACTATGCGGATTTAAGTTTATTTCACCAATAAAGCATGAATATGAAAGCTATGAAAACAAAAGAAAAAAAAGAAGACATAATAGAATTCAAAAATGACATGAAATATGACTGTATTTCATAGCTAAATAATATATTAATATTTTAAAGCTGATATTGTAAAAAGAAAAGAAATCACAAATGATAAACGTACGAACAAAGAGACATGACATCATTTCAAAGTAACTACTCATGGATTTGATTGTGAAAACTGAAAAGAAAAATGCACATATAACGTTCATTTCTTCAATGATTTTCAACTATATACTAGGTTGTTTCATGTTAGTGTTTGGTATTTCTTTTATTTTTAGTTGGTATAATTTGTTTGGTTTTGAAAATCTTGAAGAATCCACTTAAACATATGTGCATAAAGTTTTTGCCTTCATTAATTTTTTTAATTGGTCTATAATTATACAACTATAATTTCTGAAGGCATAGTATGGATTAATTTAATTATTGTTAATGTTGTATTTCTATAATGTATCATCTTTATCGAAACATTGCGACATATAAAGTTCTAAAACTTACTATAAATGCAACAACTATTTTTTCTTCATCATACATCAAAATTATTAGTTTTACTTTTCATTGTTGTAGACTTATATATTATTATTAAATATTTTATTATTTATAATTGAAAATAATTTTGTATTTCTAAATAATAAGTTAATTAAAATTATCTTAAATTTTATCCAAAATAAGTTTTAGCTATTGACCTAATATTGACGGCGATCATCTTGATTATTTTCTTAATATAATATTATAAAAATAAAAAATACAACGTTAAAGAATATAATAAAAAATAATTCGATATGTATTGACATAAATTTTTATTTTGTACAATGAGATGAACATTTATTTTCATAGTTTATATACAATATAAAAATAATAGATTTAGTGTTCGGAGCATCTATTTTAGTCTCATTTATGGATAAGCAATATAAGAATATTGCGAAATGATAGTGGAAAATGAAAAAAAAAATAATTAGAAAATGATAACATAAAGAGTGAGAGGTCTCAACAACAATAAGAGAGTTGAAAAAAAGTAATAATATAGTTTTGACTCGGAAGACGAAATTATCATATTGATTGAATAATTTTATCCGATAATTATTTGTTTCATTTATTTCATGTGAGCTTAAATTTGAGGCGATGTAAAAGTTGGTGAAAAGTGATAGCCTTTAATTTTTTTAATAAATACACAATTATGCAGTTAAAACTTTTATAAATAAAAATAGCATAATGTGTCAATTATCGTTTGACTTTTGTTCATAAACATACTTTTTTTCTCATAAAAGAATGATGAGATTACATTATTGCAACTGAATGTTGTAGTAGATAAAGTTAAACACAACTTATTATAATGCATCAACTACTTTTCCCTTATCATATATCATAATGTTAATTTCACAACAATGTGTTTTATTTCTTTTAGATTTTATATAATATAATTTAAATATATTTTTCGTATTACTTTACAAAAAGTTTGTCAATGTGCATTTCTAAAAACTACATTAAATTACAATTCTCATCGATTTCATGCAATAATAACTAATAAGTACTTTAATATTACATTGAATTACAATTATCATGAATTTCATGCAAAAAAAAAAAAAGTATTTTAATAAATACACAATTATGCAGCTAAAAATTTTATAAATAAAATTAGCATGTGTCAATTATCGTTTAATTTTTTTTCATATTAATTTTTTTTTCATAAGAGAATGATGAGGGTATATTATCACAATTGAATGTTGCATTAGATAAAGTTAAACACACTTATTATAATGCATTAACTACTTTTTCCTTATCATATATCATAACGTTAATTATTTTTTTTTAGATTTTATATAATATAATTTCAATGTTTTTTTTTTGTATTACATTACAAAAATTTTTTCAAAGTGTTTTTATAAAAAATATATCGAATTATAATTCTCATTGGTTTCATGCAAAAATAAGTATATTTTAATATTACACTGAATTACAATTCTCATGGATTTTATGCAAAAAATAAATATTTTATTGACTTGAGCATTAATGATTACTGAGTCTATTTATAACTTTATGAAAAATGATCAATCTTTCACATCATTCTCTAACCACCATCGCACTTATTTTGCCAAAAAAAAAAATAAAAAAATAAAATGTTGAGATTTATTTTGTTAATAAAAAAAGTGAAAAATTTGTAGACTTAATTTAAATATAAATACATACAGATAGAAGTTAATTTGTTCTTAAGTATTTAATTTGTATTTATAAATTTTAATTTGCTCATTTTCATACATGTTAACGTTAATTATTTAATATAAGCTTATTTGCAGAATAGTAATTATGACTTTATTTTCTTTTTTGAACTATGAAAATTATGTTATCACATATACAGTTTTATGAAAAAATTTTGAAGGAGTGTCATTAATGTGACAAATAATTTTTTTCATGGTATATCACATATTTTTGTACGCTTAAGAATTTAATTTTAAAACATTTAAGAAAAAAAGTATATTGGATTTTATAATTTTTTTTTTCATTGTTATTGTTTCTAGAGTCACGATCCATGTTTACTAATTATTGTTATTACAGTTAGTGATAACGAACACAGTTCATCTACTATTAATGCTATATTTGTGGAAGTACTTTTAAATGGATGAATAAAAAATTTATCTTACATTATATCAATTGATGCTTTTCAAAATATTTTTCTATTAAATTATCACTCATTTACACTATTTTTAATATCAAGCCGCGCATCGCCCGGGTCACATACTAGTGTGAATAACATGACAACGTTTGAATTGTCATATTTCAAATATAAATGGAAATACTTTCGTAAATTTTGATTCTCATTCAAAATTGAAATTTGATTTAAACTAAAGTGAAGCTTTTAGTATACCAACCAACATACCATGTCAACACTTTTATTGAATGTAAACTCTATTTTTTTTTATTAAATGATTATGAATATTACATATGCCGTAAATGCATTTTTGAAATTTCTTTTAGTAAAAAAAATATTAAAAATATTAACTGAAAAGAAAAAATTGGATAGAAATGATTATAAATCTTTTTACATAGAGAGCAACGGTCCACATGAACATAATGTTGTGTACAACTAAATATTCATAATAAACAATACTTTATTTCTTTATATATTTAATTTTTATAATAATTAAATTTAAACTTTATTTAATTCGTATTAATAATTAAATTGACCTCGTATTGGTAAAGGAGTACTGGTTTCATACTACTACATTGGTAACCGGGCTGTGGCTATAATCTATATATACACATATACACATATATCTCCCTTCACACGAACGAAAGAAGAACAGATCGAGGAAAAAATCCGGGGGACATGGGAAATGTGTCATCAGTTCCGCCACCCTCAGACCCGCAAAGCAAGCGGCTTACAATTCCGTTGGCCGTGACCGGCATTGACATGAGAGATGATTCCGCCGGCATTGATCTCACCTGCAATTCATGTGGATTGTTCATCCCCAAATCTCAAGAGCTCTACAACTGTTACATGTACTACCCTCCTGATGTACATCTCTAACTCCGTCTTTGCTCTGATTTTATTTTGTTTATCCTGGTTTCCCGATTTTGTTTGTGTAATTTGCTCTGATGAAAAGTTAGGGTTTTCGGGTTAGGGTTAGGGTTCATGTGCAAAACAGCATCGAATCTAATGAATGGCTATTTAGCTCTGTTTCTGTTTTGTTTCTTATCCATCCTAATGAATTCCGTGATTGATTTGTGAACCTGGACGGTAAACTGCTGGGAGCTTCACTGATCTCTGTACTAGATTTAGCTAGTATTCTTTTCCTTTTTACCAATTAGGGATAATTTGATAGAAATTAGCGATATCGCTACGTTCAGGAAATTGAGAGACAACAATTGTGTATATATTTGTGTTGCGATAATGTTGATTTGAATGACTTGCTGTTGAATGATTACCAGGACATGAAGGAGACCGATATGCATTTCGTGTTTTTTTTATTTGGTTGTTGTGGGGACAATTCTATTCTTTTCAATATGAAAGTTAGTTTAACCTCTTTATTTTACATCTAATGTCTGGTTTGCTTACCCGAATCTGGACATCTTGAAGTAGTTTATAGCAATCAAGTGTCNAAAAAAAAAGTGTCTAATTTCCATTGTTTTATTTGTACTGGCTGATGATTTGTGAATCTAGATTAGTTTGGGCCTATCAAATTATCTACTTGCTTGTTTAGTTTTGTCTTCGGTTAGCTGTGCCTTGATTTTTTTATTGACTAGGCGAACTCACATATCCATCAATAATAGGTCTAAGACTGTATCCACCGATGTAAAGCATTTTCGGAAAATTCATTTCAAGTTATCTGATTATGTTTATCTATGGCGAAGCAGGGCCCACAGGGTTCGCCGCTTATGAGGTGCTTTGTGAGATGCCCAAATTGCCGTGACATTTTGGTAGTTGGGCTGAATATTGGGGATGAAGAAAATCTTGTTGTTTTATGTGATGATACGGCCGACTATTTTGCCGCTCCTGTAAGTGCCGCTCATGACTCTTGTTTTAGTTTTTTACCATCGTTCACATTCGATCTCGAGCGCATAAACTAGCAATTTTACCTCAGAAAAATTGATGGGCCTATTTTTGTTTCTTGAGAACAGAATACTGTTCCTAGGTGCCATCTAAGGCTCCAACCTGTTGGCAGTGGAGAAGTGGATGAGGTGGCGCAAGGTGTTGATTGGAGGACATTGCAGCAAACAAGGCACCGACCAATTGGAAGGCGCGTTTGAGTTGATGAAGTGGGTTCTATCTTTTGGGTGGTCTTTATCATTTGGAAGGTTATATCTGTCTTTTAGTGAGGGTTTCTGAATTTGTTGAATCTCTTATTTTTTTACCTTCAATTGTAAATGGTGAACTCTTATGGGTATGTGTTCCGATATGACTACTTTCAGACCTTTTCTTGCTTCTCTGGTAATAATAGTATATATGATGGATGATGATTCTCTAGTTTGATTGTTCTGAGATTTGCTGGTGTTTATCTTATGAGTTTTGATGAATGATGATTGTTATCTAAACCTGATGACAATTTGTCTCAAAGTTTGATATTTTTTAGGTGAGCCTTTTGTGTAGGGAAATTTGGAAGGAACTGAATTAGATTTCTGTTGGGATATCAATTGCCAATCATTGTTTGTTTTTCTGAAAATTTTGGCACACAGTGTACGTGTATTATCCCCATTCGCAAATAACAACGCGGGTGTAGAATCGGGAATTGGCAGCTATGTTTTGTTTTAGGAATAATAGAATTTATAGCTTCCCTT